TAACCTAACCAATGGATGACAGTTTGGGCCTGAAAACACCAGCCACCGGCCGCCGCCGCTACCGCTGACCACGCCCTGTGTCGGCAATCTGCTACGCTCTTCTTTCACACCGACGGAGGCAAGGGACGAGCTTAGTCAGCCTACCCCGCACGTCAGCCCGTCTACCGCACAGCCGCAGAGTTTCCGCCGCACTGCTCAACCAGGTAAAACGCTGCTTAGACTAGTTAAGCTTTATGTTTAAAATTTCTTCTTCTGCTTCTTCAACTCTTCCAGACTCATGTATGCATCTATCTGAAATAAAGAAATTGTTAAGTCCAATTCATGTTGGCTGACTCCAGTTTGGGCTGGGAAATTGGTTTCCACAAACTACATTTCTATATATAATATGAGCATTATTCTGTGATGCAATCCAAAAATGGGAGTTCTGTTTCGATTGAATTTTGTCTCTTAAATTACATCACATCTCTGATATTATCTATAACAACGTAGTTCACCGAAGCAACACATACTCAATGGCGGATTCATCGGAAGGAGAGGAAGAAGGAAAGATGACAGGAGGTAACCGCCAGTTGTTGGTTGATGATGACCTCCGTGAGATGGATAAAAAAGCTGCCTGGAGTGTCAGCTCATCCAAAACAGGAAACGGCGTTGCTTTCCTCCGAGATGATAACCTTGATACTTTTTGGCAGTTAGTAATTTTTCAATTTATTTCCTCCTTCAGCAAATGTGTGCAATTCAATTATTTTTTTACTACTTCTCATCATGTATGTGTCCTGTTTCAAATTTAGGTCTGATGGTACACAACCACATCTGATAAATATACAGTTCCAGAAGAAAGTGAAGCTCCAAGTTTGTGTCTTACACTCTTAATGTCTTATTACTTATTGATATATCTATGAAGTATATTTTTATACTTTTTTAGAAAATTAGTTGCATTCACATGTTTTCGCTATGCCTTTTTTCTAGTTGGTAGTTCTATATGTTGATTACAAACTTGATGAGAGCTATACCCCTAGTAAAATCTCGATTCGAGCTGGTGATGGCTTCCACAACTTGAAGGTACCAAAGTATCTAGATGCATAGAGAACACAAACATGTACACATACTTTTTTAAATGTGGGCATGCTAATACAATTGAGAGGTTATAATATTGAAAATGTTTTGATGTAATCTCTCTTCATTTGGATGTTCTTCCTGAGTTGTTTTTTTTTCCCATTATAGGAGATAAAATCAGTGGATTTTGTCAAGCCCACTGGCTGGGTGTATATATCATTGTCTGGGAATGATCCTCGGTGAGCAGTAGGAGCTTTTAAATGATTGAATCACACTTGCAGTAGAGCACGCACAGACACATTTACACTATAGAAAATGATTAGTGGAACCATTTCAGATTATATGAAGAAAGAAAACCACCTTGGCTACTATATAGCTGCTTTGGTTTTAATAAAAATGCTTATTATGTCACAGTTTTTACTTGGCAGAAATGTTTGTTGAACCTTATTTCATTTACAACTTGTTTTTGTTGTATGTGTAGTGAAACCTTTGTGAATGCATTTATGTTGCAAGTGGCAATTTTGTCTAACCATCTAAATGGGAGGGACACACATATTCGCCAGATCAAAGTCTATGGACCTCGACCGTGCGTAAATTTATTTTAAGCGTTTGTCCACCTGTCATCTTAAATTACAAAGTTAACGCTGCCCATTCATGAAGAAAAGTATATATCTCTATTAACTTATGCTTGTTTGGCAGGAATCCTGTTCCCCTTCAACCATTCCAGTTCACCTCAAAGGAGTTCATTACTTACTCCATAGTGAGGTAAAGTGCGAGCTACTGTGGTCTCTGCCATCAATATGTGGAAAAGAGCCACATGTTTTAAATAGTATGGAATGCAACAAATGTTTATAAAGGACGACGTGATGCTGATTTATGATGGAAAAACTTGTCATATGTCTGTTTTGTTAATATGCACTTGTTAAATTTGTAGCCATCCCTCCCTTAAATCCCGAAGTGTGGTCACTGGTGTGTCCCAACTCCCAACACCGTACTTATAATCAAATACTGGTGGTGGGCAAATCCCGAAGTGTGGTCACAGGTGTGTCTCAACACCGTACTTATAATCAAATACTGGTGGTGGGCTTCGATGTAGGAGTTTGAGATGTGAAAATCAGTGGCCGAACAGAAGGGTTTGTCTTAATATCTTCAGAAGATAGGTTGCCACAATTAGGGCACTTTTTGAGCTTTGGTCTTTTGTCATATTATTGCACAATATAATTTCATGCTCTTAAGAATATCCCCTAAGTTGGGACGTTGAGTATTTGCAAGTCTCGGACCAGGTCGGGTAGACCAACCGATCCAGTCATGGGCCAAGTCTAGGACAATATTGTTTTTGCATTCTGTCCAAACGTTGGAGGTTGGACCTGGCCTGATTCTGGCTGGTCATAGTCTCAAAAATTTGCACTGGTGACCGGGTAATGAAGCCCGAGGGGGAGGGGCTGGTCTTGGAGTGTGATCAGAAATCAGTCCCGGATCGGTCCCAAACGGTACTGGGCCCAGTTCCATTATGGGCGGACCCCCCCTCCCCAGTCATCACTAGTGATGAACATTGACATACTAAAATGATGAAGCGTTGAAAAGTGTTGGCTAGGGCCGGATCGGTCCCAAACGGTACTGGGCCCAGTTATCTGTCTTTTACGGCCTGTTTGGATGAAGCGTTGAAAAGTGTTGGCTAGGGCCCTGAAGGAATATAAATTTTAAGCTCTTGAAATACTCTTGTTTCTCAATAGCTTCTCCCTAGACCTTATATGCACACATATACATAATATACGAAGAATCGAAGATTAGTTGATAACATGAATCTCCAATTCCTTCAAATGAATCTGCCACTTCCCAAATGGGTACATGAATTCATGAAACCAATTTCGGGTTTCTATCAAGTTTATTCATATACCCACTTCTTGAATTTATCAACCAGGCACACCCCTTCTGTGCGTGCGTTGAATTGAACTGACAGAGTTAGCAAACTTCATCGTTTAATTGGGGACTTGTTGAAATCAGGTAGGGAAACCATAAGCCAATGCAACTAATTATACAAAAGCAGGGTAATCCAACTAAATTAAACAAGAACTACTGGAGTGAGTAATTCAGTGACAGCAATAAAGAAGTTGAGTGCAAGTCCAATCATAGAGAATGGAGGAGGTGTTGTCAGACCAAGAAAGATGAGGGCTACGAATGATTGGGATTTGGTCGATGAACCATTTTCAGGGAGGGTGGAGCTAGACAGCAAGCACTATGAGGGGCAAGATTTGTCCACCACTCCAAAACACTCCAATTTGGGGTGTTAAAAAAATCACTTATTGAGGTGTTAGGATGATTTCTTCTAGCACTTTCAAACACTAACTAACGCTTCATGTTTAAAAAAAATAATCTCCCAAACAAAGGTTAAAACCAGCACCCTTTAACACTTCCATTACTAACATATCTTAACACTCAATCCAAACAGGCCGTTAGACATATTTTTATCCATATATAAGAATAGTCGTCTTTTGGACTTTAACTTCAATATAGTATGTAGTAATATGTAGTGTTGGGTGCGGTCTAAGATGGCCAATAAATTACCCATGAGGTTTCTACATAAATATGATACAACAAATAGTCATGTATATACTGCAATAGTTAAGTAGTAATTATCTTAAATAGGACTAAATTGAAACATAATTGCACAAATAGGACTAAAACCCAAATCTTTCACAAATAGGACTAAACATTAATTTTCTACCCTTAATACCCCTAATCTAATTAATTAATTAATTATCCCCTAGTTCCCTTGAGTAACCAGGGCAATCCAGCGATTGGCAGAAAATTTAGCTAAATTCCAGCGGCGGCAGGCAGGGCAGCTGGGAGATGGCCCGTGGTCGGAGATTGGCGGTGGTGCCCAGCAGTCGGTGGTGGCCGGCAGTTGGTGGCGGCGGCTGGGCAAGCCGGTCCGAAAAGCTGCGGGGGTATATTTGTCCAAACACACATGATTAGTCCTATTTAGAGAATTTAGAACAGTGTAGTCCTGTTTTTTTATTTTTACGCATGTTTTACTCCTACTCAGGTAGTTCACTCTAGTGAAAGTTAATACTCCCCCCGTCCCCTTTTAAATAGTCCCTTTTACCATATTGGGATGTTCCTATTTAATTGTCTCATACCTTATTTGGTAAAGTTTGTGTGGCTCAAAATCATTCTTATTTTATTCTTACTTTATCAATTAATAACAACCACACAAACCCTTTTTTCTTAAAACTCGTGTCACCCTCTTCCGGAATATTTAAAAGGGGACGGAGGGAGTAGTGATTAATGATTTTTTAAGCTTTAAAATTCTTTCAATATACAACATATATATAAAAAATGGGTAGAAGGAATGGATAATATAACTTATATAAACACCCATTTAGTTATTTTGGGGCTATCATATTGTTGGTCCGAAAAATATAAAAATTCGTATAAAAATCTATAAACCCATTTACATACCTGATATTCACTTCGGTACTACCGTACTATTACGAGTCGGTTCAGAACGGGACCAATTCGATTGTGATGCCCACCCCTAGTAATATCTAAGGAAAACTCCCTTTTATTCAAACAAATGCTTCTATTTAAATTGAAGCAATTAAAGCTAAAACTCTAAGATAGAGGGAGATGCTTTTCTCACATTTTCATTTTTGGGATATTTTTATTATATATATCTCTTTTCATTTTTAGTAAGTTTTTTCAATCAAAATACATTTAACCCTCACTTTTATCGCTCTTATATTTTTTTCTTTTTACAAACTACTTTGTATTTTCAAACTTTTTCATTACTTTCCTCTCACTAATATATTGTCTTTCCTACTTTTTCATTTACCCTACACCCTCGATACTACTCCAATTTTCTTCTAAAAACCACAAAACCTAAGGCGACAATTAATAAAGAACCAAGGGAGTATAAGTTTTACTTTATCATAATCAATTTTTTCACACCACTAACTTTTATGATTAATCATTTTCATATAATCAAAATAAACCACTTCTGCAAAGCAGAAGCAAACTAAAGGATTGCACAGTTTTGAAACACAGACACACGTATGTAATTTGATTCACATGCTAGTGCTTTTGAGGTGAAACACAATAACTAAATATTCAAAAAGAGCCTGGTCCTTGAGAGCTGGAAAGATCCAGTTGCCACACTGCTTCCTTTATTTCTTCCATATCTAGTGCCTTAGTTAAGAAAGCATTGTCATGAAGTGTTAGTAGTTGAGGAAAATATTCAAAAAGAGCCTCGGCATGGATGATCAAACTCATCAAAGGACCAGACCCCATTCTTGGTTTTAATGGTAAATAGTTTCTGCCTTCTCCTTCTCTCTTTTACTGAGTATTCAAATGGTTGGGATCACCTTCTTTCAACCCTTTGATATTGGTCTTCTACTTCCAATAGACGTCCTCTTATTTAAGCTGGAATAGTTGTTCAGCTTGTTTTCTAGAACAAGGGATCTAGCTCCATCAGTATCCTGAGTCTTCATATTTATCTCAGCTGTTAAAACCTCCATCTCAGCCTATGTTGTCAAATAAATTTCCAAAAACCGACTTATTCCACTCTTATGTCATTTTCAGGAACTTAAGTTTGAGAATAAACCGTGCATGCCACCACCAAAATTATGAGCTTTCCAACACTTTGTAAATGTGTATAGGAAAGAGCTATTGTGAGTGCAAAAAGGCAGCAGATGCAACCAAACAGCAAACATATAAAGAAATCCAGCACCAAGCTGTCCAATATTCACAACAATAGTATACTTGCAAAGTTAGCTCACTCGAACATTAACACCCAACAGAAATCGCCAACATATCAAAGAACACATATAATAAGAACATCAAATCAAGGGGAGACACAATGATTTACGTGGAAACCCCTTGAGGGCAAAAGCAAACAATGAGGAGAGTCACAGAAACCTTTATGTCTCTCCCTAAACATAGCTCTCTTACAAAAACCCACGAGCTGAAAGCCTCTGTCCTTTTATATTAGTGTGTGGGGGAGAGGGTCAAATTAGCCATTTTACGTAAAGCCCCCTCAACTTCCTAAGTCCTAACGTAGTGCAAACCACTCCTATTTCATCCTACAACATGTCTAGACAAAGTTTTACATGATAAATGAGCCAATATGGCTTCCAAAAGGTGAAATTAAGAGCTGCAGTTCACAGATATCGGACAATCACATGTCCTGGAAGCGATATTAGGAAAGACCTCTATTTCCAGCACTACAGCATCTCAATATAATGGGGCAATGATCAGAAGTTTTACGTATACTACAAAAGTTCTCCAAAAATATCCATAGTTGATTATATATGGTATGATCTTTACTCAATCTTTTTATGGAGCTTTGTACTTTTCGATTATTTAATTGAATTTGAAAAAGTATTTCATCCAAAGTAATATCCATTCCTTAGCTGATCATAAAACTTTCTGGTTATTTACTCGCGATCCGTGCAGAAGCCTTTTCAAAGTTATTAACTCGGGCAGCCAGTGAGAGATGCTTATACATGGAGTTACAGCCCCTCACACATCTCATCTTTTCTTTGGAAATGACAATATCCTGTTTGCTAGGGAAATTGTATATGAGGTCTCCATCCCAGCCAATATCATTAATAAATATGAGAAGGCTTCTGTGCAGAAAATCAACCTTCACAAATCCCAGATATCTTTTAGCAAAAATGTGTCTTGCGATAAAAGATTGATATTATGAATTCACTCCAAGTAGATGAAGTGGAGAAACATGAGAAATATTTGGACCTCCCCACTATAATTGGTAGACATGAGAAGGTCATTTTCTCCCAACTTATAGAAAGAATCTGGAGAAAAATTCAATGTTGGAGAGAAATTCTACTCCCCGGCCAGGTAAAGAAATTATCTTCAAATCCATTTTCCAAGCAATCCCGACATATATACGATAAGAATTTTAGAATTGCATATGGTGTTATTGATGAAATCCATACAATGTTGGCTAAATTTTGGTGGGGAGCAAGTGAGGACCATAGAAAGTTGCATTGGCTGTCCCGGGGAACATTATGCAAACCCAAGAGTAAAGGTGGAATAGGCATAAAATATCTAAGAGTTTTCAATCAACCATTGTTAGCCAAGCAAGGTTGGCGGTTCCGCATGATACTTAATCCAATTGTTGCATATATTTTAAAATAGAAATGTTTTAAAAAAATGTAGATTTTGTGGGTGCAGCAAGGGGCTATGATCCTACTAGCTAGTAGGGTAGTAGCTACACATGGAGCAACATCAGGGGGCAAGGCTCTGACTACTAGAGGGCTTAATGTGGTAAGTACGTAATGGGTCCAGCATCAAAGCGTGGGAGGATAAATCATAAATGGATACCTGGATATACATCTCTTAGAATGCCTAATGTGTGTCGATCTGAACATGAATGCAGATTTACATGCGTAACCTTATTGATTTGGAGAAGAAGACGTTGAAATAAGATATGTTAATGACCAGTTTTTCTTCAAAGGAGCTAAAGAACCAGAATCATTTGTATGCATCAGTTCTCAGAAGTGGAATAAACCATCTAGTCGTTTCGTGAAAGTAAAGTGTGGTGCAGCTATGTTTAAAGGAGGAGGAGTGGGACACAGAGCTATCATCCGAGATGAAATAGATGTGGACTCGGAGGCGGGATGGCAGAATATGCGTTGCGAATAGCACACCATGCGGGGCGAGAAAAAATATACTTCAAAGTACCACATTACGAAAGCCTCTTCATGAAAAGAAAATCATACATAAGGAATTTATCTGGATAATATTTTCACGTTTGCTCTTAATAATTTGACATATCACATTATCACGATGCTACCAGGATGCTAAAAATAATATAATCCCACATAACGTTTATTCTTCTAGATCCTCCACTGGACAGCTGAACCGAATAACCCGGATAACGGCAATCCGGAGTAGCTGCACCAAAAGTCCAAAATAACAGAACATTATCAGTTTTGTATATTTCCAGGATCGACAATAACTTAACAAATAACCATATAATTATATCAATAAAACTTCGTCCTAATAATTAGTTTTAAGACAGATAACGTCAACACGAAATTGAATTGTGCATTCCTTTGAAGTTTTGTGACATAGAGAGGGAGGTATGGAAATTACATGGATCGTCGGTTGTCAAATGACCAATTGTTGTATTGCACACGTGACTCAACGCGTAAATTAGGTCAAGAACAAAAGATGCATGTTGTGTTAAGGTGTTTGGTTGATAGCATGGTCCGCCCGGGTGAATTTGACTACAACCATAATCTCCACAATTAGTATCTATAAATTCTTGCAAAGCTTTGGGTGGGGCAGTTGGTTTTGCCAAACAATATTTATTTACATCCTCCTGCAACATTAAAAGAAACACAGTATAATGTACTCCCTCCGTAACTTAAAAATCTTCCCACTTTCCTTTTTCGTCCGTAACACAAAAATCTTCCCATTTCTAAATCTTCCCATCATACCCTCAATAATTCTTAAAATAATACACTATTACAACTACTTTTTTTGGATTTATCCTATATTCCACCACATTATTCCACTATTTTCCCATCATACCCTCAATAATTCATATCATCTTTCACTATTCTTAATCTACCTACTTTTGAAATGGGAAGATTTTAAAGATACGGAGGGAGTATTTACTTTATTACAACTAATAAACACAAATTGTGAATCTGTCGCAATAATAATTTTAGGTAAATTGGATTGAGGGTGCTGCGTACACTATAAGATGGTGTTGCCAAAAGCACAGCCAGAAGAACACTTCGGAGAAAGTGAGAACAGAAGAGATGGCTCCTCATCATGGTGTACGGACTAGGGAATTGGGATTGTACGTGAATCACACTGCTGCGAATTGAACCGTACTAAATAATACCGTAAGAATTTGTAAGATTTCGACTTTAAACAAACAAATAATACCGTACGTACTAAATCACTCACTTGTACTCCGTACTCCATAGTACATGGAACTCAATCATAGGAGAGTTAAGAGTAGTAGGTAGCACACCAAACTCCTTGTTTGACAAAATATTGCTTTTTAAATTAAAATAGGTCTCTATATTTCCTTAAATTTTGTTTAAATTTATTTTCCAAAATTACTATCTTTATTTTAAAGTATACAAAAAATCTTGATAGAATCAAGATACAAATTCCAACTAAAATCGAACCATTACTATATAAATATTTGTAACACATACTAATGCTTTTATGATTTTTTTACAATTTCCTTTTACAATGGGTGATGAATTTGAATTTCCGTTTACATATTAATCACTTCAATTGTCCCACTAATTATATTTCAGTTTTTGTTTTTTATATGTTTCATTGAGTTCGTCGCATACAATTAGTGATATTTAGGTGGTCATATACACTTTTTCATTCATCTATTTTATTGAATATTTTCTTTATTCTATTATCATATAAGTATTATTGACACTATTCAGGGTGTTTTTAATTAGAGTGGTTTCGATCCCAGCCCGCCCAGACTAGAAGTAAAGAGACTATACCAGATCAGATTTTGAAGGTTTTATAACACATAGAATGATATCTAACAAATTAGAAGAGTTTAGATCAAAGTAAGCTAGACCGAACTTAAACATACCAAACCAAATCAATTCGTACCCGATCAGATTGAACTAGAAAATTTTAATCTAACTAAAAACATCCTTATTGGTAGTATAATTATAAACTAATCTCTCCTAATAAATGTATTTCTATCATATTAATATGTATATATACTTACCGAACTGTGTTTGCATAAGGGCCGAATAAGTTTAAACATGAAGGCTTCTCATTCACTCCAGCTCTGCAGCTCACAACATGCTTGTTGGAAACATGGTGTCGTTTCACGTAGATTTCACTCTCAGATCCGTTTTCACTATAAGCTCTGTTTTTGTATGAAAGCGTATTATCGGTGGATAACATAAAGGAAATTGAATTCTGGCAGTTTCAAATGAAGTAGGGAGCAGGTATAAGAGAATAAGCAGTCTTGAATCTCTTTTTTTTTTTGGATAACATGTAAGTATATTAGAAAAACCGTCAATAGTTCGTCTGTACAACAAAAAATATGAGCAAAAATGTAGGCTATCCAAATATTGGATAACCCATCACCTGTCAAAATAAGGGTGCCATAGCAGCCCCTATACTACCTCACGGCCTATCACAAACAAAAATAGGTGATGGGCGGAAAGTTATCAAAGTACTACCAAATCATAAGGATAGATGCAATACAGAATTTTATAGACAACATATTGTATCCTGGCAAAAACTTCCTCCTCCTTTGACAAAAAATCATCAAATCGAGCTGCATTCCTGACTCTCCAAAGCGAGTATATGGTGCACGAGAACGCAATCCTGGCAGCCTTGGCTCGTACACTAGCTCCACTCCTTTCCTTCTTGATCCATTTGACTGCACTAGCTAGGGTCCCCATCATTCGTGGAATGCCAATCCATGCTTTCGTCATAGCCCAAACTTTTCCTGAAAAAGGGCATTCAAAGTAGAGGTGTGGAACCGTTTCCGGTCCACCCTTGCACAATACACAAGTATTATCCACATCTAATCTATGAAGATTATCACACGTGGCTAATCTGTTACGGAATGCCAACCAAGTAACAAAGGAAAACTTGGGAGGGATGTAATCTTTCCAAATAAACGGCATCCACACTCGGGTGGCAGCCCTAGGCCTAAGCAAATCATAAACCTTGGAGGATACAAGCTTACCATTCATTTGAAAAGCATTTAAGCCAAGTAGAGCACTCGGGATGTCCTGGAATTTGGAGAGTATTTCATCTCGGATGTCTTGAATCTCTTTTTTGCTATGACAAGTCTGTGCCTGAGGAAGTTACAGACAAACCTCTTAGGCTGTCTTTGATTGAGAAAAATATCGGAAATAAACCTTGTGGTGGTTGTAAAGCAGTGATATACTGCTATGCAAAACGTGCTCTGGTTTAGGCTTATATGTCGACTCTATTATGGAATGTCAAGGAATTATTGTTAAAGTTCGGTGCTTAGGTGAATTTTTCTTTCACCACTTCTTCCATATTTTTTTACGATAGTGGAAAGAATGAAAGATCGCAAAAATATTTAAATGGGATGCTTGTGTGTGTGAATAAGTATGCTACAAAAAAAACTTCAAATTTCAATTATATCTTTTTATAAATTAATAACTTTGTGATCATGTTTAAACTTATATAGCGTAATGGATATTTTCAGTTGGAAAATTCTTGCAACGCTTTTGATCACGCTTTTGATCACGCTTTGCAATTAATGGATCACGTTGGAAAATAGCGTAATGGATATTAATAGCTTTTTTCTTGCCCCACAATTAGTATCTATAAATTCTTGCAACGCTTTTGATCATGCTTTGACTACAACCGTAATCTCCACAATTAGCATCTATAAATTCTTGCTACGTATATTGTACAACCGGCTGTACGGTGAGCACCGTACAGCCGGCCCAGAAACAGGCCCAAGAGAAAAATAGCAAAATAATTCGATGGCATTGTTGTAATAATGTGAAAATCACGGTTTCTACTAAATGAGCTTATGAGCATTAGTGTACTGTTATTGAGCAATAGTCCAATTTTAATGAGTATTAAGCGTCTAATAATGAGCATCGTGTTATGACAAAAAAACTGATATCACAACTAAAAAACGGTGGCATTTTCGTAATTTTGATGAAGATCGTGGTTTTTGTTAGATGAGCATTAATACACTTTTAATGAGTATCAGACGTATTCTATTGAGTATTAAGCGTCTAACAATGAACATCATGATCTCTTCTTCATATCTTGTAATTGGCTTTGTTTTTCTTATTTTTTCTTTTATAAAAACTTATCAAATTATATCATCTATAATGAACTTTTATAAACTTCAATATGCAAATTTAATGTAACATGGTAATTTTGATGTATGCATTGATATGTCATTTTAAAAATGAGCATAATATCAGTATCAAATGAGCATATACAACTTTGTTAGTTGGACGTCACGATACTTTCATTGAGTATCAAACCTCCTATATTGAGATGAAAATAACGTTTTATGTTAAATGATCATTAATGAACTTTTAATTAGCACTAGACCTATTTTGTTGAGTATTAGGAGTCTAATATTGAGCATCACAATCTCTGCTTCATATCTTCTAATTCATCTTCTTTTAACACTTTTTCTTTTATAGAAATGTATTAAATTATATCTACAATCAATCCCTATGAAGTTCAATATGTGAATCTAATGTAATACTCCGTATGATACTTTTGAAATATGCATTGATATGACATTTTAAAAATGAGCATAACATCAGTATCGATTGAGCATATGTAGCTTACAATATAAGTATTAATATGAAAATAATAAGGGTTTTTAGTTGAGCATCAAGACCTTTTCTCATTGAGCATTAAACCTCCTCTACTGAATATTAAAAGCGTGAAATTGAGTACTGATTGTGCATAAGGGTTCGAAACTCAATAGAATGAGTTTCAACCCTGATTACTCCAGGCCCATGGCCCCCCTCCCCCTGACCCCCCTGAAGTAAAAAAAAAAAAAGAGTACCGATTGAGCATTCGTAAAGTATAAAATGAGCATTAGTAGGAAAATCATAAGTTTTTTTAGTTGAGCGAGTATGAAGACGTTTTTATTGAGCATCAAATCTCCTCTAATACGTATTAAAAAATGCAATTGAATATTGTGGTTCGTGCTCTCATATATGTAATTAAATCCTCCTTGAATCAAATGTAATATGCTACTTTTGAAATATGCATTGATATAACATTTTAATATGAGCATCACATCAGTATCAAATGAGCATACATATAATGCAGAAATAAAACAAAATCTAATTAGAAGGTTGATTGGAAAAAGAAGAAAAAACAAACTCAAAAATTAATCATACTTTAGATTATAAATTTGCATAATAATTTAATAAAAAATAAAGCATGGCAAAGAAAAACATAAAGAAAAGAAAGAACTAAAAACAGAAAACAACAAAAGAAATTAAACTGATAATGAACGAACAAGTGAAAAGCAAGAAATGAAAAGCAACGACAGAAAAGAGAAAACAAAAAAACAAGAAAGATAAAGCCGTAGCAGCAAGAAAAACGGAAAACGGATGGAAAAATAACGGAACAGTGGCGGTGGAGAAAGAAAAACAAAAGCAGCCATCAATCTAATCTTTACCCTATAAGTTGAATTTAATTACAAAAAAAACCCGGTTGTACCATGCTCTAGGTACTGCCGGTTGTACCATATATATTACCGAGGATCCCACCTCTTAAAACTCAATCAACACTATATTGATGATTGCACGTGTGAACAACATTTAAGATGTTTTTAGTTGTACCGATTTCGCTCTTGATAGACTTAAATAAAAGAAAAATAATTAAAATACCCCAAACTTTGATGGGGTGTGAGATAAACACCCAAACTTTCATATGAAATTTAAATACCCCAAATTTTATATAAAATTTATTTTAACACGATAATCATGTATTATTTCTTTCAAAAATGTAAATTTATGGTATTTTAATTATTTCCCCTTAAACAAATCATACAGACTACTCTTAAATAATACTACGTAGTAAAATAAATGTTAATACAAAATAACACGATTTTTTATAGTTTAGTGACTAAAATTATAACTTTAGTGGTAATGACAATGTTGAAATTTCCATTGTAGTGACTATAGTGATATACTTGTAGCGACATAAGTCACATTTTAGGCTTTTTCCATGAATATTACTAAATTTAACTCAATAGGCAAAAAGATGACTTATTTTATTTTATTTTTAAAAATTGACATATTCAGTTATTAGTTCACGCTTACTCATCATCTATTGGTGACTTATCACAGTGAAATACACTATAGTGACTCTTGTCCAATTAATCGTACACAGTTATTAGTTACGAGTATATTTTCGTCCACATAACTAGTCACATTTTGTCCGATGAAACTCTGTTAGTAATATAAATGTCATTTTTTCACATTTTTATCCATAGTAATATTTAAGAAAAAACCTATTGAATAAACGTCTAATAAAAAAGTACAATAACAACATGCAAACTTTAGCCCCAAAAAATATTGGGGTCAGCTAACATGAATCAATACATTCGTAGACAAAAGGAAAAACAAAGATAAGAAAGATAAAACAAAATATATGATTAAAAAAATAGAGATAACATATGTATATAAATGTATCAAAAACAATATATGTATCATATGGAATATCATAAAAAATCATTCAATTTAATATATTTTTGTTAAAATTGGAGAACAAATGAAAACTGTAAAACATTTTATAAAAGAATTGTTCAAATCACATGGAATTTAAATTTGCTCAATTTTCAATCATCAAACAAAATTACTTCTGTAGAAGTGGCAGCGTAATGGGGTTTGTTCGTAATTTTAAAGGATTATTAATTATACGGTCCAATTAATGGAAGCTTTAGTTAAATAAGTGAAGGGGCAAAATGGTCTAGCTAAGGTTACATATAGGGATAGCAATGGGGCAGGGTTGGGGCGGGGGTTCACTCCCCCATCCCCCGCCCCGTGTCTAAAAAATCGCCCCCACCCCCGCCCCATCCCCTACTACTATTCGACCCGCCTCATCCCCCGCCCCGACCCGCTAGACCCACGGGTACCCAACGGGGGAAGTACTCGTAAAAAATTAACATCATTTTAGACTCTGACAATTTTTCAAAAATTAAACAACACTTCTAATAGTAGCCAAAAAAACTTTTACTTTTTAAGTGTCAATGTAATCTTACATCCCATTTCAAATCTAGAACACATTATACGCGTTCTAATTTAGTCATTTTTATCAAACTCTAAATTAGCGTTGATTAGCTCTATAATATTTTCTTAAACCCCGCATTCAATCAATCATGGTCATTTGACGGCATCTAGGATGACATATGATCACCAAACTTTAAGAGCCCTAACTATAATCATAAAGATGACATTCAAAAGAAAAGAATTAATGCATTGTAATAGTAAAGGAAAAAAACTTTCACACCGTGTCTGGGGCATTTAAGCTAATATCACTTTATAACTTTCCCAAATTCATTTTACTTTATCCCTAAAAAAATCATTTTACTTTATGATTTTGATAAGCAATTTTACAAGATAGCTTAGTTATTAAACAAGAATTAGATAGACCCATTAGGCACAATCCATTAGATAGGAAACCACTAAACCCTCCGAGCCACCATGCTATTTTAATTACTTTGTATTTTAATTCACCAGGCTATTATTATTAGTATTATTATTGAGATTATTATTATTTATTACGGGGGACAGGGCGGGGACGGTGCGGGGGGTGCATCACCCATCACCCGCCCCATATTTATGCGGGGAGAAAATATCTCCCCCACCCCACCACCCGCCCCACCCCACCACCCGCCCCAACTCCCCCCCCCCCCACGGGGCGGTTCCCCACGGCCCCCCCGCCCCCATTGCCATCCTTAGTTACATATAACAATATTGAGGGTGCGCCTAGCAACACCCAAATAATAAGCTTTGTTAGTTGACATCAACACATTTTCATTGAACATCAAACCCTCTCTATTGAATATCAGAAGAATTCAATTAAGTATCATGATCTCTGCTCGCATGTATATAATCTAACTCTTATTGCGAATCTAATATGATACGTTTAAAATATGCATTAATAAAACATGGACTAATTGGGTCATTTTTGTATCCTTCTTTGAACAAGTATTCACTGAGAAGATTATACCACATTCGCCCAGATTGTTTTTATCCATACAATAACTTTTGTAATTTTATGGAAAACATGTCTCAAGGTTTTGAGCTATAAGCTTCGGGCATTTTAAATCTTATAGGAACTTTCATATAAATGTTTGCGTCGAGTGAACTATATAAATATGCAGTTACTACATCCGTTAGGCACACTTGTAGCCTTTCAAAAAAAGACATACCAATGAGAAACCTTAATGTAGTTGCATCAACTACTAAAGAATATATAGGTTTCTTCATAATCAATTCTCGACATTTGAGAAAAACCTTGGGCAACAAATCAGGCTTTACATCTTACTATTTCATTCTTCTCATTGCGTTTACGCACAAATACTCATTTAAAACCCAATGG